CTTCCATAGACAAACAGTTATAATCTAGTAAAATATGATTGCTTTCTGAAGGAAAATATTACAGGTTTATTGAGTTTGTAAGTTAAAAACATTCCACAATCATACATTTCAAAGAAATATCAACCGCATATCAAGGTTGTTGCTAGGTGCCCTTGAGTCAGTTCCAACTCATAGAACAACAAAAAGTACCTCCTAACACCATCCTAAAAAATTGTTCTTAGGGTTGAGCCCTTTGATGTAGCCTCCGTGTCAATCCATCTTGTCAAAGGACTTCCTCCTTTTTGCTGCCCAGCTATTTTACCACACATGATATCCTCCATGTTGTCTGAAGTACATGAGATGAACTTTCCCATCCTTGCCTCTAAGGAGCATTCTGGATGTTCTCCCATGAGACATTTTTATGATCTTTTGGCAGTGCATACTTTCAATATTCTCCAATAGCACCAAAATTCAATTCTTCTTCAGTCATCCTTAGTCAATGTTCAACTTTCAGATACATTTGAAGCAATTGAAAAAAAATCATGGCTTGGGTCAGGCATACCTTAGTCTTCAAAGTAACACTATTGCTTTTCAACACTTAAAAAGGTCGTGTGCAGCAGATGTACCAAACATAATGCATCATTTGATCTTTTGACTGCTGCTTCCATGAGCATTGATTGTGGATTCAAGCAAGACAAATCTTTAACAATTTCAATTTTTTCTCAGTTCACCAGGAAGTTTACTACTGGTCCAGTTGTTAAGATTTTGGTCTTTTTACATTGAGTTTTACCCATACTGAAGGTCGAAATTCTTGATCTTCATCAGCAAATGCTTCAAGTCTTCTTCTCTTTAAGCAAGCAAAGTGTTTCATCAGCATGCTGATTTTTTCTTCATATAATCCTGCTTCTCAGATTATTTGCTCAACATACAGAGTGAGTAAGTATGGTGACAACATGAAACTCTGATGCACAACTGTTTTGATTTTAAACTATGCAGTATACTCTTGTTCTTTTTACACAACTGCCTCTTGATCCATGTGCAGTTTCCACTTGAGCACAAGGTAGCTTTCTGGGATTTCCATTCTTCTCATGGTTATCCAGGGTTTATAAAGATGAACACAGTCAGATGCCTTTGCAAAAGTCAATAAAGCCTAAGTAAACAACTTTCTGGTATTCTCTACTTTCAGTTAAGATCCATCTGACATCAGATATTATATCCCTTGTTCCACACACTTTCTGAATACAGCCTGAACCTCTGGCAATTGACTGTCAATGTACGGCTGCAAATGTTGGACGATATTCTGCAAAGTTTGACTTGCATGTGATAGCAATGATATTATTCTATAAATTGAGCATTGTATTTTTTCTTTGGAATGGGCACAAATATGTATCTTTTCCAGTTAATTGGTCAAGTACTGTGTTCCAAATTTCCTTGTATCATTGTATAAGAGTTTTATTAACTTGCTGAAACATTTCAATTGGTATTCCAACAATTCTTGGAGCCTTGTCTTTAGCTAATGCTTTCAGTGCAAGTTGAACTTCTTCCTTCAGTAACATTG